TGCTCACCTAAAGGAAACAGTACCTGACTCCCTCCTTGTCTGGGCTGTCAGGTTTCTAGCCTGTGGTGACTCTTAGCTCATCTGGCTCTCTGGAACCTGCAGTAGTCAGCAGTAGGATCATGGCAGTTTCTGCCAGTTCCTCTTTGCACTCCAGTATATCTTACCACAGCTTGGGCTTGGCCCAAGCATCCATACTGTTTCACACCTACACTGACATGAAACTTTCGAATGCTGAACTAGATTAAGTCCTATTTTGACTCTAGGGCTAAAGCCAAGACAGTCATGCCTAGGTTGTGCTGTCTCCTGGTGAGGATTTGCACTACTGTTTTCAGCAGCCTCCCACCATTTCTGGAATGCTCCCAGACCAGCTTTGTTTCTGGGCAAAGTAATTTGGTGAAAGCTGAGCAAATTGCAAATAAAATTTTCCTATCTCCTTGTAGCAAACCTATTTCAGGTGGGCATGCAAGGTCTTGTAAAAAAGGCAGTGAGATTTTTCTGCCAGCTCTGAGCAGTGAATCAGAGCTCAAGGACAAAAATGTTCTTGTCTACCCACTTGAAATCCAGGTAAGAAGAGCCAGCTCCAAGCCACTCAACAACAGAGGCAGATTTCAATTTCAATGCTCTAAGGAAAAGAATGAAATGTAATTTCTCTTCTTTCTGGAGTGGTAAAATCTGTGACAGCAGTATGTCAAGTGAGGCAGATGATGTAACAGGTCTGAAGGAGGTCAGGTGCTTTTTCAGGGCAATGTGAACGGTGAAAGACAAAGGTCCAAGCAGTACTGGTCCAGGTGGTGCTGAGAGTGGATTAAAGGTCATTATCCAGTGTCCATCTTCCTGGGTAAATTAAAGGCCTAGAAATGCCCTCATCTATCTCTTGCAACATACCAAATTGAAGGCCACTCTAAAGCTTTATTAATTCTTTCTTAAATTATGTGCCTTAAATAAATGTCTGGTTGCCCAAGCTCCCCTACCCTACATAGTCAGTGAGTGGAAGATAGTTAACCTACTGATATTTTAGTCACTGGCTTAAAGATGGAGACTTGGGAAGGGGGCTTTGGGCACTTGGTGACAAGACTCCAAGTCTCAGGACTGGAATCATGTTTCAGGAGACGGACAGTGTCCTTCCTGCCTATATCCTAACCCAGATGATGGGGAATGAAAGTGCAGAGCAGACTACAGGAGCACAATCATAGAATCATAGAATGGTTTGGACTGGAAGGGACCTGAAAGATCATCTAGTTCCAACTCCTCTGCCAGGGACCTTCCACTAGACCAGGTTGCTCAAAGCACCATCCAGTCTGGCCTTGACTTCCAGGGATGGGGATGGGATGAATCTGGACTTGCACATCCAAGCAGGCATAGTCTGGTGTCCCAGCATGTGTAATGGGGTTTGGGCCTATAAATATGCAGCATATCTTTGTATATAAAACATGGACATTAGTGTAAAAGAAATACATTAAACCCATTCTAAATATTTTTATGCCATACCCATAAATTGAATTTACAATGTTATGTTTTTATCCTTATCGGCTTAGGTAGTGACAGGTGCTGTTCTGGAACCCAGGTAACATCCCTGGCATTCCATTTAGTAGCAGGTATTTTCATGTGCAATCAGTATAAGTGCTGCCTCTTGCTAGAACTCATGTTTATACAAGTGTTTACACATATCTTTCTAAATAAAAGTCCACAGATAGTCAAGCTTGGGAGGCTGGGCACCATTTTATAGATCACTCTGACATTCTCATGTCAAGACTTGATATGCCATTAGCAGAAAAAGTGGGGTTTTTTAAAGCTGACTGCGGGAAAGGAAAAAGATCAGTCTCAGAAGCTTGCATGCCCTGGTGAATGAAAAGAAGGGAACAAACTATAGATACTTTGTACTTCTACACTGGCACATCAGTGACCATCTCACAGGGATTTTATGGAAGGTAGTCTTAGGGCAGCAACACCTCCTCAATCTGCAGTGTATGATCTTGGAGGGAAAGAAAACCTGGATGAAATAAGAATATAATGAATACGAAGGTGAACATACATAATGAATATGGAGGAGATCTACAACAGAAATGTGTATTGGAACAACCCAGCCTAAGCTAGTTTCACCTAGCTTTTACTGTTTATGTTTGGGACCATATATTTTACTTTCATCTCCTGACAATTGTTGCATTACCTGGTTATCCGGTTAATGCTTGAGAGCAAAATAATTAAGAGGTTCATACACCTTTAAATGTCCTTAGAAGCTCCTTAAAATGGAGGAAACCCCTGTGAAAGTTATGTCTTGCCATCAGCATTTAGCTTTTTTCTGAATAAGATGTTGTCATACTTTTGATGTGGGGCTGTACTTTAATAGATGCTAATTAAAACTAAAAAATTTGGAAAATGTTGTTTTCTGCTGTGTGCCAGTGTTCCAATTAAAAGCATTTTTCCTTTTGTTCTTTTCACTTTCCGATTCCAAGTATTACTCTCATGATCAAGTCGAATTGTCCTAAATTAACTAAACTAAAAAAAACAAGCAAAAACAAAAAACACCCCCCCTCCAAACTGGAAAAAAAAAATCAGATTTTCCAATTGGGAAACATCTTTTTTGCTGTATATTTCACATCTCTAGTTTAGGATATTCTCATTCTGTCCTCTTGCATAAAATCAAACCAGAAAAAATAAAAGTCAATATTTAGCACTTTCCATGTAGCAAGAACCACTTTGTCTGTCTTCTAAGTGAAGACTTATAGAAGCAGCTCTATTAAATTTAGAAGCACATTCAAGTGAGTAAACATTGTATAAACTCTAAGCAATATAGCAAATGAACTTTCCAGTGACAGCTCCCCAAGTAATTTTGCTTATTCATGTAGAAGACCAGCCATCTCTGCACATTGTTAACTGTCCCATGGTATGCAAAGAAATCTGAGGAGGAAATAATATTTTCTAGTGGACAATTAGAGAAAACGTGTCTTTCAGGGATTATGAGAGTGAAAAAAACACTCAGGCTGTGTGTCTCCTACGTAGTCATGATTTGGAAATTTTGCATTCTACAATAACCAAGGTCTTTACTGTTGCTAAAATGTTGTAGCAGGAAGGAACTTAATAGTAAGTTTGAATTATGGAAAGACCACATGCAGCATTTTTGTAGTCATAGAACTTTTCTGTGAATCATTACAGCTGTTCTCATAGTCTGCAAACAGAGGTGATGCTCTGGCATCCTAATAACATATGAGTAACTCGGAGATATGCCCATTCAGTGCTTCTGGATAAAGATACAATTTCCAGTTGGTACCATCTGACTACATCCAACTTTTATTTGAATATGGAGTTTTGTTGCAACTGTTTTTGTTGGACATTTCACATTTTAATCACCATCAGGAGAGAAATATTTCAGTTCTGCTTTCTAAAAGTTCATCGCTCTCCCCAGTCCTTCACTGATGTTCTTTCTGTCTGTAGATTCTTGCTCAAATTGCTGACCACAGAACTGATCAAATCCCAGGTATGTCCATCCTTAATCTCTTCCCCTACGGGCTCATTACCTGGTATAATGTTTTGGACCTCCAAATCCATAGTGATCATTCTCTTAAAATTTTCTGATTTATTAATACTCCCATCTTCCAAGTCTGCATAGTCTTATACAAGGTTATTTAAGAGGGTCAGCCTGTATCTTCAAATTCATTGTCTATGGCCTAGTTACCTTCTCTTCCTGAGCTTCCTAAAGAATATAACTTTTGCTTTCCTAGTATATTCAGATAATTACAATTCTGGCTGACTAATAAACACAAAGTTAAGAACTTTGATCTTCAAGCCTGCTTAAATTTGAGGTCAATTTTTTAGGGGAAAAAGACTTTTTGAAGCAGAGACCATTTAATGAGGGAACAAGAATAAAACTGTAGATGATCAATCACACTGCTTGACAGCTGAATTATAAAGATTAATTCTCCAGTAATGTTGGTAAGGCACTTCTGAGAAACGTCCTACAAGAAATTAATTCCCTGATTCACTGAAGGTTCCTGAATGGTGAATATATAGCAACAACCTCTTTTGTAAAGCTAACTTGACCCACTCCAAGGAGCTGATTCGTTCTGAGAGGTTCTTTCACAAAACATCTTCTCTTGGTTTTTTGGGGTTTTTTTTAGGACAAAATGTCCTTTCACCCCTCTTGAGAATCTATTTTTTCTGCTTTTCAGTATCCACGTGCTCTCTCCCTGGAAACTTCTCCTAGCCAGCAATGATATGAGTACCTCTCAGAAAGACACAGTACAAGTTTATTACTGCTTACATCATCCCTGACATAAGGATCTCTACATCTGAAGTGGAAACTCAGATTCAAGTCCACTCTATTCTCTGATTTCTTTTATTCCAAATTACTTGCCTTTATTGTCTTCTTTATTTGGAACTTTTTAGTCCAGGTTGCTCAGATACTAAATTTAAATTACAATTAATGCTAAATTAATAGATAGTTATGTGCCTGGATGCTTGTAATATTAGTTCTATAATCACCTTGTGATGACATGCAGATAATTCTCCACAATGCTGTTTCTTTTGTCTCTCTACTGATTTGTGCTTCATTCATCATTAATGTGTCTCAGTGCTTGTTTGCTCTTCTAGCTGTTGCAGCTTCCAAGAGTCCTGTTTATGTCCTTTTATAAGCTCCATCTCCTTTACTCAGTGCTTACTAAAGAGTGCTCCCTAGTTAACAAATTCTGAGGAAGAACCTGGCTTTTTGGAGACGACCAAGGTAAACTGGATACCTTAACATGGCATTTTTTTAGCTGGGACTTCTCCAAAGCCCATTCCCAAAGTTGGGAATTTATAGTTGAAAGATAAGTTATTAGTTGCTTTGCTTAAATAAATAAAAAAAAAAAAAAAAAAAAAAAAAAAAAAAAGGAAAAACGCAGATAATAATGTTGTAAAACAGTTACAGATGTATCAAGTACATTATAAATTGTATAACAAGACCTTACAGAGATGTCACTGTAGCCTGTATACCCATAACATAAACAAATGATAGCACACCTGTGTCCACTTATTTGATGAGGAAATAAACAAATGTGTTATTTTATTTAATTATCAGAGAGAATCAGGCCTTATTTCTTACAACTGTTTCACCATATGATGCCATACAAGCATTCCATACTGGTGTCCTGAAATGGGTTCTTTCACCCAGTATGCAAGAAGCTGATGCAGACGCAGAGTTGAGGTATTTGACTGATTTACAGTTCTGCACAGGAAGAGGTGCTTGGTGGTAAATCCACAAATTCACTGCTGGTAAAGTTAGTCTGATGCCTGGAGCACTGGTTGACTGTGGTTGCTGTTAGGCTGCATAAGCTGTATCTTGTACTGTATTGTATCTGTGATTCCTGTGCAGGCTGAAGGGATGTACCACTGCTACTTGCCTTTCTGCAGCTTAAACAACATGTGTGGCCAGCTTTGAAAGACAGGTCAAACAACCTTGGAAGAGGGAAACATGGAAGTGGACAAGAGGAATGCTGTGAACCCACCCTTTTTAGAGTGAGAAAACATGTCTGGCTATTTTTTTAAATCTTTTTTTCTCAGTTTACTGCCTTTTTAGGACTTTCCCCCAGTAATTACAGCTCATTCTGTACATCTGACAAGATTGCTCCTTGTAGGACAATTTCCCAATATTTCCAGCTGGGACTGGTTGGTATCCTCTTCCCATATGATCCTTTTGTCCAACTGCTATGGTGTGCAGAAAAAGTGAAAATGTTCAGCCCAGGAATTCATATAGTATGTGACCTTACTACAGCAGCCAGTGTTAGCAGCTCTGCAAGATTAAGCTGACCTCAGTCACAAAGAAAACCTTGCAGACAGCAATACAAGCAAATGTTTTCTAACTTCTTTGTACCTTTCCAATAGAATGAGGAAAAATTAATAATAAGATAAATGTAAACGGAACTGGTGCATTGAAGGTGTATTTCATCCAGAATCTGATACCCCAGTGATCAGGAACTGTGAATCTTCCAGCTGAGGTAACTTGCCGGGTAATTTCCATCACCAGAGTTTTCAAGGTCATGGAGTAGACAAGACTAAGTCACGCACCCCAAAGAGTGTTAAGAAACAATTTCACAGAACAAGAGCAATTTGCATTGTTTTCTCACTGCTGTAAAGCAAGGAAACATCAATTTTCCAGTGCCTGCATTGTACCTTTCCTGTGCCTCATGCTGCAAAACTGAAGTATCAGGAGACAAGTAATGGCCTGGCAACTTTTCCGCACTGCTTCGGTTGCACTAGGAACTTTGAGCTGTGTGACAAAAGGAATCAGTGTCTTCTCTTTAAATGCTAATCCATAAACTGGACATCACACCAGCAAAAGGCAATGTCTGAACACTCCAACTGATGCTGCATAGCTCTGCAACGTTGGCCCAGTTCTTGACTCATGCAATTATGGATATGTTGATGGTTGCAGGATAGCAGAGCTTGAATGGAGACTGTGCTTTCATGATACTCCTCTGGCAATATCCATTACTGCCTGTGGCCTACCCTGTGCTCCATTTGCTGTTGCAGCATACAGCATGACCTCACAGACAGTTGTACAGGCCACCCGAGGAGATAAGGCACCATTTCATGGAACTAAAATCAACCATCTGTGAAGTAGGCAGAAGAACTCCTTAACTCAATGTTGATGCCAGCACATTCACATAATGAAAACACAGTATTTCTGTTGTAACATCGTAGTAGTATGTGTTAGGCCAGTAGGATGTTCCAGGAAGCTGTGTAAAGGCTCATGAGCACCATTTGGGTCTTCTGAGCCTGTATGTGACACTGCTTCTCTTCAGAAGCCCAGTAAGACATATTTAAGACCCTACCTTGCCTTTGTTGTCTTTTGGGGCATGCAGTTACAGCTCTGTTGCTTTGGTTCATCACTTTGAACAAAATGTTTGTCTATTTATTGACCTGAAAAGGAGATGTTTCCTCCCCAGCTGGGCAAAAGATAGAAATATAGTCTGGGAAATGACTGCAAACACATTGCAATTGTGTATTTTTGGGGCATCATCTATTTTTACTTATTTCATATTTTCAGCCTAGTTAGCTTAAGTTATGTGGATTAGGATGTTTATTTCAGAGGTGTTCCTTTACTTAGTGTGATGCTTTGTGAAATTGACAGCTGAGCATTAATCATCATTTAGCCTGTCTTTTTGTCTCTGTCTGACATACATTAAACTGTACCGCAGGATATATACATCTGGCGACAACAGTCGGTTTTTGATTGAATGTGACTTTTAAGGAACTTTTCACCCAGCAGGCTATTCCTGGGATTTATGAACAACTGTATTTGTTAAAAGTGTTTTTGTAATTTTTGGTAGCAATGTACTGACTTCATGGTAGCTGCTGCAGCACACAGAGTTGCATATGTCTTGCCCATTAATCCCCTCAGGAATCAGATTCACCAAAGTTATGTCTGACTTTATAAATGCAGATTCCTAATGACAGGTGTTTTATAGCCACTCTCAAATGTATCACCTGAATTTGGCCATGCATCACAGCAGCCATGACAGCGAGTAGCCTGCTCAGTGGCAGTATCACCAGCCTGGATCGTCTTCCTGCTTCTCCATTCTTTGGAGAGAAGACTGCTGTTGATGGCATGGTGTATGTGCTGTTGGTATGTGTGCCTGTGTTCCCTATGGCAGTGACATGGGAACAGCTTTCCCTTAGAAAGCAGAAACAGGCTTCAAAGGGTGGCGCACGCTTTTCCTATGAAAGAAGTGAGGATGACCAAAATGGTAGGACGCTAGTCCGCTGTGCGTATCTCTGGGATGAAAAAAAAAAGCAACTTTACGGTGGGAAAGAACACTTTTCTTATTCCTTTGGTTCTGTTTCTAATAGGGATTTGTTTGTAACAATTATTTTAAAGATGCTTCTTTCTTTATCTCAATTTCTGATTGCCATTGTATATATTCCTTTGGAAGAACTGGAGATCAAACACAGAACAGGATGAGGGAAGCTTTGGAAATTAGCTATGTATGCAGAGACTTGGCAAAGGCATTAATATATGCAAAAGAAAATTAAAAAAAGAAAGGAAGGAAATAATCTAAATGAAGGCAACTCACAATATGAATATGAAAAGAGAACTAGTTTGGAAATGGAAATAAGCACACTTGGAATTAATGTAGACTCATTCTAGGCCTGACGTGATTCATACAGTGCCAACAGGCTGTACAATTTGCATCAGTATCTATGTTTCAATACAATTTTGTAACCAGGCAATTTAAATCCTCTAAGCCTTTTATGACTGTGTGTGGAAGCCTGGACATGAGGAGGGGCAGGAGGCAGGAACTGGATATCTGCAAGGCACATATCACATGCAACCCGTCAAGGCCAACTCTGGGCTGAAAAAGCAGCATCTGTCTTCAAACCCTGGCTTTGTCATTCTGATACGAACACACATTTCAGATGAAGATCCTCTGGGTAGACATTTCTGAATCTAGGCAATGTAATCTCCTCCCTTCTCCTTAGAGTGCTTTAATTCAAAGTACATATATAACTGTCAGTTCTGTTCTAGGTCACAGCAAGATGTGATACTTGATGCTGAATCACAGATGACAGGAAGCCTGCACGTGGAAGTTTGCATGTATCTGGATGCATACCTCATGAATAGAAGCTCGATTTTTGCTTCACAGTTACTTTCAACTTCTGTGGAATTTACTCTTGCTTCATACTAATTTAGAGGCCAGTCACTAGAGGCCAATATGTTGGAGGCCCTGTCCCTGCTTTTGATCAACGTGAGGGTGTGATACTAACAAGAAAAAGATTCTGCCACTTAAAGTAATTGTGCTGTGCAAACTAGGAAGGGCTCCATGCATTGCTCATGCTGCCAGTATTTTAATGAAAATACTGGTAAACAAGTAAATAAAAAACTAATATTCCTGTTGAACACCTTTTCCAACTAACATTCTCTCCAAGAAGATTTCTGAATGTCTCCAGAGTCTGAGCCTTCCCCCAAAAATACCATAGGTGTTAAAGCTGCAAAGAGCTGAGACACAGATGATGCACTTGCTTTTCTGTTTCGGTACTCTGTTATAAACCTTGTTTCTTTGGGTCATTTATTAGAAGCCTCAATTTTTGTGTGCAATTTCACCTGACAGATATTTTTCCCATAATTTGCATTTTTTACCCATTTATGATTTTTGTTTCTACATTATCCTCTGATCATGTAGGTAAAGTGTCATTTAATAATGTGTGGCATGGAACAACTACTTCTTTTTATTTGTTTCAAACACTGTTTGAGGATTTCATTCAGAGACTCTGTTCTTGTTTTGTGAGACAGAAGCTGAATCTGGAACACTCCCTTTAATATCCCATGATGGGCCTTTAAGTAATTATTAATCCTTTTCAACTCAAGTTAGTTGAGATTGTTTATAAAGGTTTTCACTGATCTTTCCTGAAAGACTTTGAAAGAAGCATTAATTTAAGAATTTAAAAGTCTAGATAAAACAGAACATTTGCATAGGAAGGAGCTTGATAAAGCATTCAGCAGATAGCAAGGAGGCATGACTGCCTTCCACAAAAGGCATGTTGATGCTTCTTCATTAGAATCATACAATAGAATAGTACAATTGAATCATAGAATAGGATTGTAGAATAATTTAGGTTGGAAAAGACCCTTAGGATCTTTGAGTCTAGCCATCAACCCAACCCTGCCAAGTCCATCTCTAAGCCATGTCCCTAAGTGCCACATCAATATCTCTTTAAAATACCTCCAGGGATGAGGACTCAACCACTTCTGTGGCCAGCCTGTTCCAATGCTGGACAACCCTTTCAATGAAGAAATTTTTCCTAATATCCAATCTAAACCTCCCTGGCACAACTTGAGTCCATTTCCTCTCATCCTATCACTTGTTACTTGGCAGAAGAGACTAACCCCACCTCACTACGACCTCCTTTCAGGCAGTTGTAGAGAGTGATGAGGTTCTCTGTGAGGGACCTTTCTCCAGGTTAAACAACCTTAACTCCTTCAGCTGCTCCTCACAAGACTTGTTCTCCAGCACCTCAATGTCTTTCTTGTTGTGAGGGGCCTCACCAGTGTTGAGTGCAGCAGGACAATCACTGCCTTAATCCTGCTGACCACACTCTTTCTGATACAGGCCAGGATGCTATTATTTCAGAGTCATTCATGTGCCAACTGATAGTGTTCTTTAGGTTATTTTTAAATGGATTGTCTCAAATACAAATACCCTCTGAAGCCCTTTTCAAAATTTTGTACCTTCTATTTGGATGAGTTCAAAAACTATTTGAACAGTAAGTTTACACTTCAGTTAGTGGAACAGCTGTTCAATATCTGACCTCTCAAGGAACTTCTAGGTGCATAGGACTCAGGCAAGCTGATTTTGTTACCCATTTTCCTTATCTGAGCTTTTTTTTTTTTCCAACCATTCAATATGAGATAACTCTGCAGACCTGATTTTCATAAAGAAAGTGCATGGATATGAATGTCTCCAAGCACTTTAGTAGTGAACACTTCAACAAAGATTTGCATTAATACTTCTTTTATGTCCTTTTTTGTGATCCTCCTACTCCTTGATCAATCCTCAGCTCTGCAGATCTTCCTAGTTTTTGTGGTCTAAAGTCTTATGAGTAACTTTTATACTTGACTTTAGCAAGTTGTTCTTCAAACCCTTTGTTTATATTTTTAATCATAATTTGTTTGGGCTTATGATCTGTGCAAGCTCCCTTGTTTGCACATAGCTTCCACTTCTTGAAAAATGCCTTTTACCTTCAGATAAGACCTGTTCTATTTAGCTCTGTCATCTTATTTATCTAAGAATATTTTTTTTACAAGGAATATTAATTTATTCTGCATCTCTTAAGATGATGCTTTTAAGGAGAGTAAAATATCAGCTTTCTAAAGCCAGCTCTCTAGTAGAAAGGAGAGCATTCAGAAGCCTTTATTGGGCAAGATTCTGCCTCCAGCTTAAAAGGTAGCCTCGGTCTCTGACACATCCAGTACTGTGGCTGCTCAGATCCTATGAAAACCCAGCTCAGCAGAGCTCTATCCCCAGGGAAGAGCCATTGGCAAGAGGTTTGGTACATGGCCCATCCAGTGAGGTGGCCAACAGAGAAGAATGGTGGTCCTGTGGCTCCCTGCAGCTCCCCACAGCTCCCCAGGGGTAGCCTCCTTCCTCTCCTGGCTGTATTGCCAGTGCCTGCTGCAAGTGAGGGCACTGCACAGAGAGCAAAATAATTGTAAAAGTCTGCATTTTGCTTTTGTTCATTTTTACCTTATTTATATCCTGTTTATCTCTAAAATTTTAGATGCCAAGTGGAACGCGGAACACGGTCACAAGACTAGCAAGGATCTGGGCCACTGACTTAATTCCATGTCTGCTAGGCACCACAGTAAAACACAATCTTCTTTCATAGATTTCTCAACTGGAATTGAAAAACAGTCATCTACAGTATTTCCATCACTGTCTTGTTTCCTCTGATAGCAATCAGTTTCATTAGAAGCTTCTTTGGGATTTAATCTTGTGTTATTTTCTATCTGAAACTTTAAACAATATGTACAATATAATATAAAGAAAGAGAGGCTCAACATGAATATTATTAAAGTACACTAGGATTTTTTCCTAATCCTCCAGATATTTAAAAATATAGAAACTGCACAGAGTTACAACTTGAAAAGTTTCTCAGCAAAATTTACAAATACATGAAATCTCTTTTTCAAATTACATTGATTTTGCTACAAGGAAGGAAAAACTAAAATAAAGAAATAGCAATTTATGATAAAGAAAGGGAAGAGAAACACCATTGTAGCTTTAAGTGGGAAGCTTCACATTTCCGTCAAGGCATGCCCACAGCAGAAAATAAGTTGATCCCAGCTGCTTCAAAACAGCTTTCCACTACTGAACATCACTAAGGTAACTGATTCGCTCCTCTGCAGGAAGGATTTTTCTCTCAGTGCCACAGTGGGAGTGTGCACATCCCTGAAGAACTTGTTGCCATGTAGTAGTCGTCTCACATATAGGCATGGGAGTTCTTCCAAGCATTTGTTTATACTTTTATATTTATATTTATATTTATATTTATATTTATATTTATATTTATATTTATATTTATATTTATATTGGCTCAATTCAGAGAAGGTGTCTGAAGTGCTCTCCTCCAAACCCCACACGTGAAATCCCACCTGTACGCGGCAGATGCCAGCTGCATCAGGAAAGCTGACCAGCATCTCCTACTACCTCAGAAGTCCTACCTCTACCTCAGCCTGAAGGAATATGCAGGTTGAATTTTCCCTCTGAAGACATACAGATGAGCTACGAAGATGTCAAGGCCTTCACATGTCACCAAGCTAAGTCCAGGACTGTATCTTGGCACTATGATCTGTAATGGTGATAGATATGGTGGTTGGGTGTATTCTCCTTTCCTCACACAAACAAAGCACCATAGGTGATCAGCACACTAAATTTCAGTTTCTGCTGGAAAAATGAGCCACTGAATGTAAATCTATAGTAGAAATTGTGGCTTCATGGGAGAAAAACTGCAGGTTTATTTTTACTGGTAAACCTTTCTTATAACCCGCAAAATGAAAGGCACCTGCCAATTTTTTTTGTCATTAAGCCAAAAATAGTAGTTATAAGGGGGTTTTTTGAGAAATCAAAACATCTGCCCAAATAATAAAATAAATTACAAAAAGACTAATTATCAAAGGAGGTACAGTATATTATATTCTAAGAAAAATATTTTAGAGGGAGTATTGGCAGAACTCCAAACTACAGCTCTTATACTTTAAGAGGACATTTGGGAACATCTAATAAAAATGTGAAATAATCAACCAATTCTAAGCCATCACCTGAGTTATTTGGAGTTTAAAGTTCCCATTGTAAATTGGATTACTGTAACAACATGGCTTAAATAGTGTTAAAAATAGATCCTAAGTATTCTAGGTCACGCCAGAAAATTGTAAGAAGTAAAACCAAGGGATTTTAGTTTCAGGAAGGCCAACCTCATTTTCAAAATGAAATAAAATTCTAATCCTCTGGCGCTCTTTATTTGTTATTATAAATAAAAATAAATTTAAAAACTACATTTTTATAGTGTAAGCACTGTAAAATCCAGGTAAGATACCCACCTTTAGCTGCATCTGTCCAGTTCTCAGAATACAAATGTAAAGTATCTGAGAGTATAAATGGAAAACCTCTGTGTAGGTTCCCTTGTCATTCAGCTCTGATTGGATCTAGGGAAATGGCTGGATAAAAGCTTAGATATATATGGATTGGCTGTAGTGTGATTTTCAAAACAGTTTAAAGTGATTTCAAAATAGATAGCCCAGAGTCCCTTAGGAAAAAATTAAAAAAAAAAAAAAGGAAAAAAAACCCCAATGCTAAAAATCAATCCTTAAGCCACCTAGATATTTTAAAAAGCTTTCAAAGCCAGTTTGGTATAATTTGGTCCTACACATCCAGCTTCAGGGAATGTACCAGTGCCTTGATATGCCAGATGCCAGATGTTAATTTTGTGTTTCTGCTGAAATGCAATAATTAAGACAGAGAACCTGCAGTATTCTTCACAGGGTACCATTTTAAGATGAAAAGGGCAAAGACTGCTGATTTTAGGCCAAGGTTGGATTTTTCCAAACTCCTGCATAAGGCGAATCCCAGAGGCCAGCAGCCTTCTGACAGACAACTGCAGCTGCACCACGGCCTCTACCTGCGCGGTGTAACAAAGCTTGTAGCCGAAAAGGGTCACATATGGCTACATCCAGGTGCCAACTTTTTGTCAGATGCGAGCTGCTTGCGTCGGGCAGGAGCGGGAGGATGTCCTGTGTCATTTTGCTGGTTCAGTTTGGGGACTGCAGCCAAAAAAAAGAGAAACGTAACAGGAAGAACTGGGACTAAAGTGAGCAAGGCTCCGGGTAAGAGCTGTGTTTTTCCC